GGCCATTCTATGATTCTATGATTCTACGATAGTGCAGAACTGATAAGCTGTCACTGTACATTTTCAGGAATATCAAGAATGTCACTCTGTGCCTTTAGGGAAGCAGAACACAACGTACTGATGAAATAAAGTAGAAGTGATCTATTAGCCTTTACCAAATTGACTTGCTCCTGCATATATAGTTTCATTTCTTCTTCCATGGTCCTTGATGTATAGTACTGGTACAAAACTGGAACCGTAGAATATTCCAGCTACTACAGCCAGACTACAACCTCTTTAAAAACAGCAAAAATTAGAGAAAATAGCCTAGAATTAATTAGCATTGAAAACACTTGAGAAAAGTCCAGTATTGCAGTTAAAGACTGAGTTTCAAATGAAAATTTCTAGGACCACTATAAAAATAATACATTCTAGCATATTTTTATTTTCTAGTGTAGAAATGGTTCAACATAGTAACAGTTTTCCTATATTTTGAGGCCAAGTAACAGCCAACTCCCGCCCCAAGAGCCTGCAGTCTAGATTAATGACAAGTGAAATCAACTAACTAGGATCTCATAAAAGCAGAGCTAAGAGAAAACAAACAAACAAAAAATAATTAAAATGCTGCCACACGCTCAGCTTCACTGTTGCAGCCTACGTACTCTGTAAAACTATTCCCACGCTCACGGCCTCTTTACTTTCCCTCTCACCTCCAGATCGCTGTGCCCTTATACCTGTCTCCGCTCCCCACACTAGCCCCTCGCTAGCTGCTGCTTCTACCTCAGAGCTCTTCTATCTTCTTACCACACTGCCATGCCTACTCCAGATGTATTCACTTGGAAACCACACCTGGAAGCAAGTTATTAGCATAGGCTCCTTCCATGCTGGCATGTTAATCAACCAGGTGATTAAAATCAACTCTGAAATTATTTTGTTGCTACTGTTATTTACTTTGCCAAATGTTGCTCTTTTATACTAGTAACTAATACTTAATTGGCAAGATAAAGCACATTCAAAAGTGCAAAGGAAATAAACTAATTAGTTGCGCAGCTACTCATATACAGACATGCACAGTACACCAGTACTTTAAAAACTGTTATTTATTAGTGTGTGACTATGATAGGAAAACCACAGGACACAAATTCTCCTCTTACACTGTGCTCAGCTACCTCCTCTGGCTACTTGGCCTGCAGCAGTAAAATAACTGTTAATAACTTACATGAGTCTCTTTTTTGCTGGAGAAAGTCTGTCCACCCATGAGTCATCAGAGGTATCTTCAGAAACATTAATGGACTACAAAATTGAAGAGTTTTCATGAAAGTTTAGTTTAGTTTAGTTTTATAAAAAGTATCTAAAACATGGTATCAAACAGAACAGTTTTGTTCTAAGAAAATGAAATGAAAACCAAAAATAAGTATATTTTATATATATATATATACACTCTGAAGAAAGATTTTTTTTTAATAAAACACAAATAATTGGATCTACCTACCTCCAAGCTTACAAGCATGAGTTTGGATATGGACTTTGGGTTTACTACGTAATACAGCACTCTCCAGCATTTTTTAAATCTAGAGGCAGGTAGGTCTGACTTTCAGAACTTGTCCTTCCTTAAATCTGATGAGTGATTTAATATATAGATTTTATTTGATGTTGATAGCTCCAGTGTTACAATGAGAATATTAAGACTAGTTGCAAACAGGGAAATTAACACCCCTGTCTGGAGCACAAAGGAATTGCCATGTCCCTTTATTCTGATCCTGGCATCAGATTGTCTTCTGCGGTTTGGTCTGGTAGACTGGAACCTCTAGTGAGCACTTAGCACAGCCAGAACACTTTGATGGGTTCTCTGTTCAGGTACCAACTAAGCAGTGACCTACAAGAGTAAGGTACAATGATGGCAGGAGCCTTGGAGCTCTCCAGTTTTTGTTGCATACTTTGGGAGGAGCGACAGCCAACCTGGAACACTTGCTGGCCTCCAACCTGTGCCCCAGCCAGTGCTGAGAATCAGCAACTCTTTACTGTCTCCTGGCTCTGTAATGTGGCAAAAATCTGGGAGGTAAGAGTTACACACTGTGGCCTTTCATCTAAGCTCCCTCCTAGTTTTATAGTTAAGTTTTAATTAAAATCGGTTCCCCTTCTCAAATAGGCAGGAAATATAGTGTCTTTTATATAATCTCTGTCATAATTAAAAAGGACTTCTAAGCCATGTAAAGCTGACAATAGAGAAAGAACACTGAGGAAAATCTTTTCTGTTGTTCACATTCAACTGAATATGGAAGATCCACAAATCAAATACAAAAAAAGCATATTTATGTAGTTTTATGTTGTCTATCACAAATCCCAGCAAATAAGCTTAACAATAACCATTTTTTTGTTTGTTTTAAACAGGTATATACTTCCACCGCTGTAAAGTAACAACTGTAGAGTACTTACAGTTTCTCTCAGTAAAGATATGCTTTCCAATGAAGCTGGAGAACTCTGGACTTCAGTTTTTACAAAAAGAAATATGACAGCACTCAGAAAAGAAAAATACACCAATAAATACCATGTCAGATCATAAGGACATAAAATTTATTGTTCAGAGACAAAACTTACACTTGGAGGCATACTATCTAATTTTCATCATTGCCCTAGAGTCACTTCAATATACTTTAGAAATGCAATTGCTTTTAACAGTCTTAGCAAGCAACTTAAAGGAAAGTAAGTGAATAAATTAGTCTTTGTATCACTTTTCAGATCTCTCTTTTATGTAACGGGATTGAAATGTCTTGTTTTTACAATGCACAGTTAGAACTACATTAACAGCTGCTTTAGTTAACAGTGCCCTTTTGTAGTAAACCACACATACAACGTAACATCGGCCTGAAAATTCTACGTGGAACAGCTTAAACCTGCACAGCATTGGCTAGTGCTCAAGGAAAAAAGTGAGTGAGTGAGAGAATACTGCTCTTACAGGGCCTTGTGCATATGGGGAAGGAAATGTGGTATTGCAGTGGTGCTCCAGTGCACTAAGTGAGTAAAATGAAGAAGAAAGGGTAACACTATTACTTGTACCCCCAGCTCCAGGAAATATGCAGGTAAATATGCAGAATCAGAACTGGCAGGATCTGTTTTTTATTTCTGTAAAAGGTATTTTTATGATTTAGGAACTCTTTCTCATAACTGTAAACAGAATGTCTCATTTTGAAGAATGATTCATCTTATACTGAAGGAATAGCGATATAAAAGGATGTCAGCTTCCTCCAGAGGGGAGACAAACATACACAGGTTCCACACAGGTGGCTAAAATGAAATATGTGCTCTGAGCTCTGTAAAGCAACATACACAGGCTTTGTGCAGCTTGCCAGGAAAACATGTTCGGTCACAATCTTTTTCCCTGTTGATGACTTCACTATGATATCTCAGAAACAGGCAGGAAGCAGGTGGTGACCTGAATTAATTCATCAGGCAAGAATAGCAGTACCACTACTATTTTGTCAGTACCTCAACAAAATTGTGCTACATGTAACAGTAACAGGCAAAAAGCTGC